CAATATACTATTTCTATGGTACACTATGCTCCACAGAAAACATGACATTTACCGGTCAAACTGGTTGACCCTATGGCTTTTACAGAACGATACTTGCACGAGCTTGTATCGGTGGCTCCTAAGAGAGTGATGATTATTCCATCTAGAACAGCCACTTGCCCGGTCGTTCTGAGTCCGTTAGTCAACATGAAAAGCTGGAATCATAGCATACAATCTCAGTAGTTTTATCGCAGAATAGAAGAACAAGCGTTGATGTTTCGTCACTTAGAATTAACCAGACAAAAGGCAGACATATAGTCAGAGTGAAAATAACACTATCAGCCACAAACGGTGGATCCAAAACCAAGAATGTTAGTCCACAGGAGACTGGTGTCTAGTTCCCCTTGCTGAATCTCGTAGGGGAAATGAGTATGAAGTGGTAGGCCAGTGACTAGTTCTTACTGTTCACCAAGGTAAACCGGAATCTCTAGAGCGTGCAAGTCTCCCACAAGCAGAATGTGAGTGTTAGGCTGAACGAGATTGATTTTCTGTGTAGAAACCAGACAGTTGTTCAGTTCCGGAGTGGACATGAGAGGACGGTATGGGAGGGCAAAGAAACATGTGTCACCATGTCTTAGTTGCAGACGACACCAAAGTGAGTCCACAATTTGAATTTCTGGGTCGCCAACAAGTTGGAGATGCAGGTTACTCTGATGGTGCAGAATTACTCCACCACCTCTACAAAGTTGACCTTGACGTAGCACGGACATGTATGGTAGAGCGATCCCCGTGTCAGTTATTTCATCGTTCAGCCAGGTCTTAGTTGTCACTATCAGGTCCATAGACATCAACAATAGAAAAGACTGAAGCTCGGATAACTTGGTAAAGAGGCCCTGAGCGATGTTGTACATACAAGAGAGTGTTTCAAATGGCAGAGGAGTATCTGAGATTGCCAGGTGCGAACTTTTGTAAACCAATGTCAGGTTGGCAAGTAATCGTTATTAGGAGGGGAACTCCTAGCACTGAACGTTAAGCTACTTCATATTGGCTGGTAGAATGATCACAGGATTAAGTTCCGGTTTCAGTGAGTCTTGAGAAAATCGGTACTCCGTCCAGCGTAGGGCACTTTCAGAGGGGTTGCACTATTTGCCGCCTATGGAACAGTGGATAAGCGCAAACAGGACCGTACACAAACCTTATATGTTACTTTCGATGTGAATATCTTATACAAACTTCGATCTCCATTGCTAACTCCCATTCCCTAGGTGACATTGCACGTGAAAGCAGCTACCGCACTACCTTGGCTGCGACTTCACAGGAGGCAATAGCACTCAACAACAGCACGGCAACAGCACTCAAAAATCATTAGCAAACCAAGTGGTCTGATATCGGTGGCAACTCATTGTTTTCAACAGAACTAAACAAGCTCCGCTTGCATGCACCTTGGATATAGTTGGTGCTAACAGATACAGCCTCCCTAAATTCAGAATTTGCAAGTCAGGCGTTATCGGTTCCACGCACCCTCCTCATGCGGATGCAGCGACCACAGGTCAAGTTGGAGTCAGCATAGTTCTCAACTCGGTAATCGAATTCCATGAACAGCCATTTGTGTGCACCCCGTTTGATAAAACTAAGGTTACCACTCGCATTAGGGCTAAACATATCGTGGTAAGATCTACATACCAACCGACTACTACTTTACAATGTTCACAGATCAGACACAATCCTAATTGCTGCCTACAAGAATGCATAGGTCGCTTCAGTCGCTCAGAAAGCCAGTCAGATATAAGTTTTTGCTTAATTCCGAGAGCACAGACTAGAGCATTTGTTGGAACACTGCGGGGATCATCGGCTATTTCCCAGTACCATCACCTACAAACACAACGAACGTCGGAATGTAATTTGATGTCCCGCGATGGTTGGCCAGTGATGGACGCAAATATGCCACGCTGTTAGGGGCTTTAGGTGGCGTAGTTGCAGCCTTGACTGCCACTCGTTTTGGAACAAATGTGTCGGTTTTGATCGGGGGCTAGCACACAGTCCGTTTCCCTTGCATTCTGCCAGAAAGTAAAGTAAACGACTACAATGATTGGCAATTAAGAAGATGCCTAGGCACGCAATCAGACAAGCCTACTGAGATGCCGCGGTTGTTAATCTTTCACCATCAGTCTTCAACACACCGGATATAACATATCCATCTGAAAGTGGTGGGAATGTGGAGGAATAATTTCCGATGGCACGCAGCATAACGCATCTTGGCGAGCCATTAGACGCTAGTCAACAAGGAGACTGCAAAGCGGTAGAAGGACTCAGGAAATGGACCGGATAACCTCTATTAAATTGCAACCGTTCAGCGACACCGATCAAAGGAACTCGTCGTCAGTAAGACAATGAGGCACAGCAATAGTGCCTCAACTCAGAAGGAAAGTTGTCTGGTCCGTTGGTTAGAACACTTCTAAGAATAGTCCAGTTGGCCCCAGCTCAGACGTGTCTCGTCCTTAGGTGGCAAAGCCGAAACCATGGTCTGTTATTTTAATGGTTTCATTCAGGATCACGACTATCAACCGTTCCCAAGCTGCCAGTTCAATGAAGAGTAATTTCTAAAGGGCACAAAAGCATTGCTTGACACATTCCGGGGATTATAAAAGGACTGTTTAAAGTGAAAGGAAAAAGAGAAAACTGATTTGTGGTGACGCACATGAACACTTGTTGGTTTGCTCACCGCTAATTAGCGGACATACTGCTGAGCACGTTGTTTGCGCTAATTCGTATTTCGATGGGAACAGATTGTTACGTAATGTAAATGGGACAGAGTATAGTCAAATGGTTTTTTTAAAGCGTTACCGTGGGGGTGAAAATAATGTGAGAAGGAAGAGCGTTTCACAGTCTGGATACCCGAAGGGAGAAAATGTTTTGTCGGCAATCAAGTCGACTATGGCGTGTGATTAGTTTGAACTGGCGGCCTCCCAGGTTGATATTGTGGCTGACTTGCAACAGATCGCGACAGGCGTGATTGAGGTTAGTTAGTATTTTGTAACCCATAATAAGGTCTCCTCACAATCGCTCGTATTCGCCGCTGTACAAGCCTACGGCTTGCAGTCTGCGTTGGTAGGGGATGTGAAACAGTCCTCTAACGAGTTTCATCCCTATACGTTGTAGAGCATCGTGCGTATCAGCATCGTGTTTGCGTTAAGGTCGTGTACTCTAAGTGAGGCCTCACGTAAACGCACCACATTTGTGGAAAGATTGATGGCTCGAAATTACCGAATGCCTTTCGTAGGACGCCAAGATGCTGACTGGCTCTTCTCGATGCCCTTTCAGCCTGTTTCGAGCAGCCAAGGTTGTTTCACACGACTACTCAGAGATCGCTTTCCTGTGTACCATGTCGCAGCAGCTGATCTCCCAGTCGATATTCATTGATGGCGTATGCTTAGAACTTTGCATTTAGTTTTGGTAAACTGCATCCGGTTTTCGCATGAGAACCTACAAGCCCTATCGAAGTCTCTTTGTGGTTTTGCATGGTCGTCCACTGTCTTGATGCCATGCCAGATCTTGACATCGTCTGCAAGTAGTAGGAATTCAGAATGGAGCTCACTAGCAAGATGGTTGATGAATCACAGAAGTAAACATGGCCCCAGTACCGATCATTCAGGCATAGCTAACTGGACTTCAACTGGGCTGGAGATGGAGCTGCCAAGTCTCACATTCAGATGAGGATGAATGAGGAAGTTGCTTATCCAACCTAGCACAAGGTCACCGATTCCATAGCCTCGAGGTTTGTGAGGAAGAATGCGGTGGTCCAGGCGATCGAATGTTCTAGAGAAGACATCGACTGACCATCCAGCAACAAGTTTGTGAAGCACGACCGACTTCGGCGGAATCCATGCTGCTGTGACACTATGATGTTGTTGCTCTCAAGGTATCCCTGAGTGCCTCTGCGACCCTAGGTTTCGTAAGTTTAAATAGCACTGGGAGGAGAGTGATAGGACGGGTTAGAGAGCTCCACACAATTTCCATTCTTGTAAATAGGCGTGATCATTCCGTTTCCACATTGTGGGACCCTGTATATCCTCAAAACTTGGTTGAAAGAACCGAGGTAACGGTTCGGCGAGGTGCAGAGCGGCTGATTTTAATGCCTTCGGTCCGATGTTGCCCACACCAGGAGAGCTGTGCACATGCAAGGACAGCAGTCTTTTCAACGCATTTGCAGCAGTGAAGAATACGCTATTTAATCCTGGAGGCAGAGTGATCTGTGCCAAGAACGGATGAGGTGACAATTCACTTTGAAAAGTCCGGGTAAACTGTTGCCGAAATGCGCTTGCCGCATCTTGTGTAGTGAGCGTCAGACTATCTAGTGCACGTAGAATTGGGATTCCGCGCTGCACTCTCCGGAGCTTGTTTACTTGCCTTTAGAGCATTTTAGGATTAGTAGTGAATTGTATCGCTAAGTTCTGTTGGTGCTTGAGTTTATCTTCGCGGACCAATTTGACACAGTGATTTCGTTGAATTAGTTAGACATCCCAGGTCTGCGTATCCGGACTGGCTTTATAAGCGTATTACAAACTTCTCGCCTGTAGGCATTGATGTTGTTTCTCGCCTTACTCTCGTTGACATCAGCGACTCCAGCAGTGTCGTGAGTGGTCTTGCCAGCGACGAACATAAGCTTGGTAAGGATCTCTCTATGTATCGATGACGTTCGCTTGTACCGTCGCTGCCTCGGAGGTGCGTCTTCTCGTCGTTCATTTTGGTCGTTTCGTGCAGCACAACGCTAATAAAGCTATGTTGATGGAGTCATAACAGCATACACTGTTCCAATAGTCGTGCAGTTGCATAGGTTCGCCCACTCACCTATACAAAACACGCGAAGGCCTATGGAGAGACATACGTACCACTGGTTATATTATAGTCCATCAACTGTATGGCTTTTCTCAGCCAATGCAGTTGACTAGATTTGTTCTCCCACATGTGTATTAGTTTACTGGTACAAAACTTTCTCACCATCACAATGGAAAGCATGAAAATTCAGCTAAAATCCACTTCAAACTTCGGAGTTCAATTGTTAAATTAATGTGACACGATCTATGGTGTTTACTAAATTGAGTTAATTCGTTGAAAATAGGTCAACATAGGTCAATCGAAAAGTAATAAGAAGAGTGCTGTTTTGCCAGCGAGTATCTCGATAAAAACAGTAAACGCACAAAGTGCTTTGCTCGAAATTTCTATTGCTAAAAGTGAGTTGAATCGAGGGAGAAACAATCCCACAATACGGGTTTACGTCAAGTACACACACCGGTCACAACGGTCAGCAAGAAGATAAAGAGACCGAAGAAAATCCTTGTGCGGTGGTTATCATTTGCGTTCTCGGAGAACCTGAGGGAAAAACAAATGAATGTGATGAGATTCAAAGAGATTCGCCATCCAGCGATTGATAAGTAAACGCGTGCAAAGGAACAAGTGTTGGTTGTCCCTAAGTGACAAGGAAAGAAAAGATGATAGCTGAATGGCGAAGAATGATCGCAAGCAAACATATGTGAGTACAGGTTCCACCAAAGGGAAAAAAAGCAGGCGATAGGAAGCATTGTATGAAACGAACACTATATATAGCTGAACAACTGATAGTAAAGACAAACGGTGGGAAAATAACACATAATTGTCCGAAAGGATAGGCATAAACATACCATTATACTGAGTGAGTTGGAAATGGTGTAACGTGTGCATGGAGTCATATGGATGAAAATGCTACTGAGCTTGTTTAGGCGAGTAACAAGGGCCAATTAGCAGGAAGGTGTAGGGCAAAATTATTGTACAGCCTAGATGCACCAGAGAAGTTGCGTCAAACAGTGAAAAGCAATTCGCGCCACTGGAATTGGTCAAATTGCATCGCGATTTCGGAGAACATTTAGATCGGAGGATGGTTACTTTGAAACGCTGACTCCTGTGTGACCGCATGAATGCTGATAAACCAAATCAATTGACCAACAATGTGAAAAGCGTATCAAACTGTAAAGAACCTGGTCAACATCGGTCCAGAATTTTGCATGATTCGTTATATTATGGCCAAACAAACGGCATGGCAACACGGAAAAGGACACCTGAATGTCGGAAACTCGATGCATGTGACCGCGATGAGTGTGCATCTCCTGATCCAGTAAGTTAAGAGCTGGGTGGTGTTGTCTAATGGCGTCCACAACCAAGCACAAAAGTAAAATAATAACCAGAAACTGTGAAAGCAGTTACATTGGCATAATAAACTGTAGGTTAGAGAGCCAATTTCAGGACGAACTGTTACCATGACCGTGCAACAAGCAAACGCGCAGTCAAGCTAACAGTGTCATCCATGGCTAAACACCTAGTCGGTACAATGCATCAACCGAATAATTCAATGAGAAGACGGGGGTTGTACGATGATATCATTTCGCACGTTCTGATCACATGCAAACGAGTGACATTTAACGATCACTAAAGGGGAAATCAATGATTCGAATGGTGTCCGAATGGGAATAGAAAAAGACAAAAGGGCATAAAGTCCAACAGAATCACAACGTTTGAGACAGGGGCCAATGTCCCAAAGGAAGCTTGAGGATGACAGTCTGCTGTTTTTGTCCACATAGATCCGGACGACTGTGATTAATTGCCACGGCTTCCGCGAGCTTGAGTATCTTGGCGTATTCATTAGGGTTGATAACCGGAAACGCCAAGTTAGAGTCAATTTGATGCCCCGTTGCAAGTAGATGTCTGGCTATCGATGAGGCCAGCAATTTGGAACTTGACTCTTGTCCCTGCGATTGTTTTGCTAAAATTGCAGCAACCCACTTCGGGATGTGTTCACCGATCTGATTGTGCAGATACCGGTCGGTTCTGCCGATGTAACTGCTTCCACGATTACAGGCAAAGTTGTAAATGCAATGTGTTGTTGTAGAGACCGATTACGTAAGCTTAACCGGCGGCGGTGATAACTTACTGGTTGTCCAAAAATGGCACAGTTTCGCTGCACTGAATGTACGTCGAATTGCTGTGGCAACACGCCACTCGATTTGAGTAGCCACATCATCCCCTTTGAATGGCAATTGAAGATAGACGGGCATTTTGGACACTGTAGGGAGCTCTGTTTGTTACTTTCCGTCGTGCCACCGTGAAACTTAGTAAACGCAGTCGGGTATCCATTTGCCTCTAGCGTCTGTGTGATGATCTTCAATTCAGGTTCGACACATTCAGGACAGCAAATTCTACGAGCCCGCTGGAACAGCGTTTTGACGAGGTAATATTTGTACCGGACCGGTGTGAAACTGCTGAAGTTTTTGTCAAGTCCCGTTCAAATGGGTTTTCGGTGGACAAAACGTCGTATCGAGTCGTCGTCAGCTCTAGTCAAAAAAGCGGACAGCTGTTGTTCTCTAATTCACATTTAAAATGAGCATTCAGGTGTGCCTTGTTCATCACGTCGAGAAGACGCTGGGCGATTACTAGCGTATCATCAACGTATCGCTTGTAAAGGCACATCTGGTCGATGTATGAGTCATAGCGTGTTTCAATCATTGACATGAAAATATCTGCTAGCGTATGAACCGAGTGGACTTCCCACTGAAACGCCGTCCATTTGTCAGTAGGACACACCTTCAATTAAGAAATGTACATTATCCGCGTATAACAGAACTAAATCGCTTAGATACTCGACGGGCACCGGCAAGGCCACTTTTCTATTCGTCACGACGGTATTCAACCGTCTCTCTTAATGGGACGTTAGTATAAAGTGATTGAACATCCAGTGAACACATTACTTTGTTGGCAAACTTCATACTTTGTACATGACCGAACAGTTCGAAGGTGTCTAGGATAGTGTGTTTCAGGAGCATTCGTCTGACTGGCACAAGTATCCTGAATAACCACCTAACCAGTTTGTGATACGGAGAATTATTCATGAACAACACAGGTCTAAGAGGTATGCCGGCCTTGTGGATTTTCGGTAGGCCATACATTTGGACGTATAAGTGCCCGTTGATTTAAGTGTTGTACATTGTTTCTGTAGTCATTTCATGGTGCAGCAATATTTTCAGCCTACTGGTCAACGACTTTCGATCTGGGTTACGTCGATACGACTTTTGTCCTTTTAAACATGCAATTATCACAAAGTATCTCATTCATCATGTTCATGTAATCAAAGCTATGAATGATGACGATGCCAGTACCCTTGTCCGGCTTCAGAACTACCACATATTTGGATTTAGGATAACTTAATACACTGATGATGTGCTTGTGTAAAGTGCAAGTTTGGCGAATCGGCGCCTTCATGAAATCACTTGCAACGTCGGCTAGCTTAACGTTAAGTCAGTTGTAGTTTTCCTGTGTCCTTGGGTTAACTTTCGATAGTTGCTCAATCACGTTCTCGAATTGTGCTTCCACATGGATTCGACCATCATCCTCAGCATCATCACCACCACCACCACCATCATCATCATCATCATACACGTTAGCTACAGGTGTAAAACACCTCAGCTAATGTGCCGCGACGCATAAAAGAAAAAGACAATAAATGCAACAGTTGCATGCCAGCTCAGCTACCGGCAACGGATGGGTACCGTACCAGAAAGCTATCAGCCGGCTACTAGGCAACGAAAAAATTATTATATAACATTATATTATGCCACGAAACAAGATCGTGGTTGCAGGGGGGTGCTAAAAGGGATGGAAGGGGACAAAGATACTCCCAGTACGAACGCCACTGAGGTCGGCTCCTTGCCATGTCAGCAAATGTATCTAGCTGAACGTGTACATCGTCTTTTGGAATCCAACCAGAGTGCCGAAGATCTGACCGAGGCTAGCATCGAAGTAAGGGCCTTACTTCTTCCGGATCAAGTCATCGCTCGACCACCTCCTCTCCCTCCATCCACACCCCCGGCGAGAAAACAACGCATGCCGCGGGAGTCGGTGGGCTGGCATACGTAACAGCTGGCCGAACCATCGGAGCCTGGTGTGTGAAATGACGGTGCTGAGCGGTTCAGTTCCTTTTCCTGTGCCGTAAACAAGGTGTCGAACATGCTCGTTGTTCACGCTGCGTTCCCACCAGATGGGAGCCAAATTATAAAGGCACCGGCGGTCGAACGTAACTAGCCTCACCAGGTCCTCTGCTTTAAGCGGCCAGGTTTCACAACCGTACAGTAGGGTCGACCGTACCGCTGCATTGTACACTCTACCCTTCAGGGCAAGAGTGATGTCGCGCCGGCGCCATAAGTGGCGAAGGTTAGCAAAAGCGCCTCGAGCTTTTGCTATGCGGTTCGTGATCTCATTTTCGATCCCAAGGGCGCTGATACAACTTCCAAGGTAGTTGAGCTTTTGAACGACTTCTAGCTGATCCCCACCAACGGTCAGCGCAGGTGATCCCTTCCAATCTTGGAGAAAAGCTTTGCACTTCGAGGGTGCGAAGCAAAGCCCGAAACGGCTGATAGCCAGTATCAACTATCCGGTGCAGCTTGGCACGTCTGGGAGCTGTCACAAGTAAGGGCAATACCGTCCTCATACTCCAAGTCAAGAAGTTGTTCTCCTAGGAAGAGCTCAACACCTTCTAACTCGTGTCCTGTGAATGCAATCTCCAGGACTTCGTCAATAGCGAAGTTGAAGAGGAAAGGTGACAACGGGCATCCTTCTCTCACACCACTGGAAATACTGAAGGGCGGCGACAGCTTGCCGTAAGCCCCCACTCTGCCCGAGCTACGGCGTATAATGCTCGGATAATATTTACATATTTCTCAGTACACCTTTCCTCAGCAGACAGTCCCAAAATCCAAGTCTATCCACCGAATCGAATGCACCTTTGATATCGAGGAACACGACAACGATGGGCCACCAATATATGTGACGGTGCTCCAACAGCTGACACAAAGTGAAGATGGGATCGATGCAGCCGCGACCTCGACGAAACCCGGCTTGCTGTTCACGAATCTGGCTATTACGAGTGCCAATCAGTCTGTGAAGGATGACAGAGGCAAGAAATTTGGAGACGATGGAGGTCAGACTGATTCCGAAGAATCGAAAACAATTGTTTACCTTCGGTCTTGTGTTCTTGAAAATAACTCTCTAACAAGTGAAAGACCTCCATCTTGTAAAAGAGCCGGAGAGAGTTCGCCTGGGCCAAGTGCTTTGTAGCGTTTTAGGAGGCGAAGCTCATCAGCGGCCTCAGCCTCAGATGGTGGCGAAGCTTCTACACATCAGAGAAAAGTATGGATTCCCGAATGTGGGATCACCGGTGCTGCAGGCCAGTTGAACTGCTGCTCAAAGTGCTCAGCCCAACGCACAAATCGACGTTGTTGGCAGTGGATTGGCCCGCCACTGGCTTCGCACAAAACTTCGCTTATAGTCGGCCTTTTGCCGCCAGTGGA